TTGTTAATTGACAGCAGTACTGATAACATATGACTATATACTACGTTTTGGAAATTGACATATTTTTGCTGCTTTCATTTATCTTTAAAAAAGTGATTATGTATGTATCGAGTGGCCTCTATAACATAGTTTTCTATTAGTTTTTTTTAAGCTTTGGTTTGATCCATTGAAACTTATATTAAGCTTTTAACATTAGAAGTGCCAATAAAGTGTGCCTACCCTGGTTAAATAAAGTCATATCATTATTGTTATTATTTATGACACGTTTCTCTAATATTTACTATAACCCTTCAGTGTAGGGAAAATATTCTGATTAATTATTGTTTTTAATTTCTTATAGCGCTTTTTCACTTATCGCCAATTGCGTTAACGTGTTATTTAGGTTCTAGCATATTTTTCAGACAAAAAAAAAAAAAAAAAGAGGCGTAATTTATGTATGTTTGTGTATTTGGTCCTATTTGGGCAGTAACTCCTAACCATCAAATGATTATGATTGCCCAAGATTGCACATTTGAAGATCATTTTCTTTACGTCGCCGAAACGATCATATCGGTTAACTTGGGGTTGGACTTGATGATAAAATGGGAAACTGAAAAGCATTCCTGTGGTGACTGACGAGAAAAAGAATCTAAAAATACGGAATATATCTATATTGGAGTTTGTTGCTTGAGCTGCGTCGTGAGTTGAATCCATTCTCAATTYACTTTTAACCGAGTTTGTTCGTCTTGCGGTAAACCATCTTCCACTCAGCAGCTGCCCCATTATTACGGATTCATGATCAATCGACTGACGTTCAACGATTCGTTTTTATGGGGGGAAAAAAAAAATAAAAAAATAAAAAAAAATAAAAAAAATATCAAAAAATAAAAAGATGCCATTAAGATTTCATGGCAAATAATCCTAATCTACTATTCATTTTTAATTACGTATAAATTTGGTGTTTTGTGGATCTTCATAATTTTTGATTCCGGATATCAATGATCGATAAAGATCAATTAGGAAATAACCAAGAAGAACGAAAACAAGGCAGAAAATTAAATACCGCCCTCGTTTGTCAGTGGACGGGATGTACGTTGAAAATACTTCACGTTTAAAATTTTCACCATGAATTTTGTTACTATTGCGTAGAAAAATCCAGTTTCAAAACGCTCGTGCTGCAAGTCAAAAGTCTTTAACGATCTTGAACTAAAACGATGTCTGAGTGCATTGGATAATTAGGCAAAAAGTTTGAAGGCTTTGATTGCCTGGAGTTGCTGTTGTCCCTTCTTATTCACTCGGCATCTTTTAAAACCCTGTCTACGCGAGAAAACGTTTTCCCAAATAACACGTTAGCCGCCTTGGGTCGTATTATTTTTTCTAGTCTTTCAGTATAAAATCGAACGGTAATATTTACAAACTATATCACTCTATCATAAAACAACAATGACGATCGGAAAATAGTTTAAGCGTCAAGTTTTACTAATGAGTCAAAAACTTGAAGAAAGTCAGCCTTTGAGAAACTAAACGATGGCGCGGCCTTCTCAGCCTAGTTTAGTTTAGAGTTCAATATTACTTCTCGTCAGAAGGCTTGGGATTAGTTGAAAATCTTTCGAGTATATATTAACAAAGCCAAAAATTCAATCCGAAGTTTGTAAACGGCAGCAGCAATATTTGTCTTAAATGAGATCTCTTACCGTACTCAGACGATGGTAGCTAAGATGATGGTAGCTACTGAAGATGATGGTTGGTTTAATTTTCCTCTTCACGATATAAACAAATAGGCCGTTTGGACTTTCCTTTGCTCTGCATAACACAGCTTATCTAATAAAACTTTAATCATCTTTAATTTCTAAAGCATTATTAAGCTACGCTCGACGGGGTGGGAAAAAGGGAATGACGATCCTACGATATATATATATCTATATCTATATTGCTCTATATTTAGGCTCTTGGGGGTTCACCGATATGGCAGTAGAACGAGCTATAGCTATCAGGAAAATGACAGGATAAGATAAGGAAGCTTTCGGGAAAAATATATATATATATATAATCTTGAAGTTGAGTGTCTTCCTTTAAATAGCATGCACCTCACCATCCCTGTCAGGCCGTCATCTTGGGATAATGATAAACGTCTTATTTAATAAGACATATTCATCGATAACATAACTTAAGCCACAAAGATATATACTCCTCAAATAGTTAATAATAAATGGATCTAGTCTAGGTTTGAGAGTATTATGGCTATGTATCCCAGATAAACCTTAACATAATCCATGTGATACTGATAACAACAAGTAATAACTCTACGTCATCATGCAAGACTCGGGAAATGTTTCGGTATCCATGGTAATCATTGTTCTCTTAGTTCTAAGCAAGTCATGACAGCAAGGTACATTTTTAATTTTCTTTTATCTGTTCCATTAGTAATAAGCAGTTAACACGGTGCCTGTGTTTGTTTTATTTCTATGATTCTTTGAGGTACAGTCATCGTGGAAATTATGGCAAACAATTGTCTTTCATTTAGACTCACTGAAGGATGGAAATGAACTGAACTAAATAAACATGTCATGTATGTATTAATAGAATCATTGTAAATTGAGGGACTGACAAATCGGACAACCATGGATTGAAATGTTTGAAAGGCAACCCGATCTATTATTATTAGATTATAATTGATTTTTCGTGCACTATTCCAGAGGCTATTATTACGGTTGGCCACCRAAGTAAACAGGAAATGTGACGTCAGAATCCTTAACGGTCCCGCTTTGGTTGGGAAGGAACTTGAGGTACGAATTTGCTAGGACCGTTACTTTCAGTTTTTTCACAAGGCAATGAAACTGCTTCTTCCTTTTGCTGTTTTATTTTAAAAGGCTTTCACTCGATGGAAATTAGAAATAAAGACTCGTTCAGTTATTCAATTATGAACTTCTATTCATGTGCGCAAACAGCGAATACGATTTTAAATATTCTGAGAAGATATTTTGACAAGAGAGAAATATAGCCAAAACGCAATGAAGTGCTTTTTCTATCAACTTCTATAGCTAGTCGGGACTTTCTTTGACATATCGTCCTTCTTACGGTTCAGATAACCGCAAACCCACAAGGATCTAGCGCGGTCTATCTAACGGCTTATCAACAGCATTAAGTTCGCTATAAGAGCAATTTAGTACAGGATGATAAAGTAGGTAAATCTTATTATTTTTCCTTCAGTTTCTATCTTAAGTTGTACCGCGCTATTTATATTAAAAAGGCAATAAAACCAATTTAATGAACAAACACCAGCCGGATAACCTGAGATATAATGATTATAAAGTCACGAAACGTCTTTTAGCTATTCAATTAATTCAATTTATTACTTAGTTAGGATAGTACGCACGCGCTAATTGGTAGAAAAATGTGTTTTATTAGTGAACGGAGCAAAGTGCTGTCGCCATCAGCGCGCGCGAAGTGCTGCTAGATCCTGCGACCGTTTTTCTTTTAGCGTAAATAAATTCAATACCGAAATAAAATTATTAACTATATAATAAAACTAATAAAAGAGCTTTTTCCATGCTCCGTTCAGTAACAAAGCGATTAGGAAGCGCCGTAAGCACTCTTTCGTGCTTACGCCACTTTCTGCGTGCTTTATTACTGAACGGAGCACGGAAAAAGCTATTTTATTTGTTAAACATTAAAAATAGCATTGGAGGGGTCTGTATTGATTATGAGTTGGGGAGTAAAAATACTCCTGTTTCGAGTTCCGTATGTTGCTCAGGGATAGCCTCTAATTTGTGCAGAATATTCATGTGTTCTAATGAAGGGCCGTGGAATTTCAAAGTGTTGTGTCTATATTTACTTTCAATCAATCATCCAATCCAATAAGCTATGAATCAATCTACCCGTCGCTATCCAATTACCAAAGTCACCTACAAATGTAATGAGTGTTGCCGCTGAACGTTGACCCAATACGTAAGTGACCAATCAAAAATGTAATGTAATGTAAGCGACCACGACTACTATCTRTCAGTTAACCCGATCAACTGAGCGTTACACCAATCATGGTGGTTGTTCTATCATTAATAAAACTGAGCGATATATTCTACTAAAAACAAATTAGAGTAGCTATACAATGATAGCCACAGGAAGATAGCAGCCTGTGATGAATTATAATTCCAATGTAATTATAGGATTTTATTCAAAAACCAGGACTTAACTATAATCTTTTAATTCAGCTCCTGGTCCAACAACAAACATTATATAGGGTAAAACTCGCAGATCGGAAGTGCACAGTCCAAACATACCACAATATACAGTATTGCTGAAAGGAAGGAAGTCCCAAATACACTATGGATTTAGTCGAGGCTAATAGCTATTTGTCMGTGACAAACAATGTGTCTTGTCAGATAAGTAGACAGCTACTTACAAGGTTTGAAATGAAGATTTGCACATGCATGGGATCTTTACTAAAGATACGAAATTCGATTTGAATACGACTTTATAGATTTCGTCACTCTAAGCATTCTAATGCTGGCAATTGCGCTTTAAGGCAAATTTTGAACTTATTGCAGTTTGATTTTAGAATTATTTTGCAAAAAAGATGTTAGATTCATAGCACTTTGAAAATAAAATATTTYTTAATTATTTGGTCTTGTCGCATCTGACAACCAATCGCTGATAAAAGAGGTTTCTTTTTTTGCAATACTCAATGAAAAATTTGGGTAAGTAGTTGTCATTTTTTTTAGCGAATCAACTAGTTTATTTCGATTCCCAGATATCGTTTTTCACGCAGATATATATCATACAGCTAAGCTAATATTTATGCATTTTCTTTAACGTTCTAGGTATGGAACACGGAATGAATTGGGCTTATTTTTTTAAAAATGTCCTTTCCTCTTTTTTTTTTTTTCCGAATTAATTCCGGCAGGCGTGAGCTTTTTTCTCTCTCAATCTATAGCTTACTCTTCGACAAACATTTTTAAAACACGAAGTAACACAGGATCACAAAACACTGACATATAGCTAAGAAAAGAAAAAAAGCTTACCCAATCTTATCTTGATCGCTCCAGCCAGTCACTCACTACTAGGATAGGCCGTAGTTGCAACTGTCCCAACGTAGAGAAATATGAAGCCCTGTGATGTAAATGAAATTTAATGCATAAATGCATGAGCTCAACAATTAAGTTAGAAAATAACTGTCAAACAAATGTACCAAATCGTGACTAGACTAAGACACATTCAATACTTTGGCAAACTTGATTACACAAAACCCGTAAAGTTTGTCTCTGCTGCCTTTAGTTAACACTTCTCCAGCTGTCTGTTGACCATCACTGTGTTTGCCTCTAATATTTTTGCCTTATAACTAGAAATGAACCCAATTCGTCGACTACTTTCTCTTGCCTGTAATAATTAGGTGTTGAAAGCTGAAAAAAACGTTTCTTCTCAGTCCTTAGTTCTTTAAAAGAAAGATCTTTCTTTTTTTTTTTTTTACATCATTATATTCTTTGGTTGAATAGCTTAATGGAGACTACAGCTGGATAAACGTTTTATTGTAAGCCTTCGTTTTGTCACATTTGCATAATCAATTTGTCATGAAAAATGTTTGAAAAAAAGATATTTCTTTTGATATTGTGGTTTGTTTTTATTGGAATTTCAAAACAATTTTCGTTATTTTAACGATGTGTTCTGCTTTTGCTTATTAGTAATCATCCATCTTGAAAGTCATTTTCTAGCTTTGATTTCATGTATCTGGCCTTATCATTCGAATACACCTTGAATACCTTGGTCTATTGCTATTTTTTAGTTAAGTCTTCATATATAGAATTTATAATCCCGCCCATAACTGCAACCCTTAAAAATGCTTTTAAAAACTAATCATAACATACTCTACCTTAAGGCAACTCGGGCTTGTCTAGTGAAATAGGTAAAAATAGATTACTATGTTAGTAACGCGGATTCCTTAGAGAACTAACACAAGARGTTCGAGGACACTCAATGTCGTAAGATCGGCAGACCGGCTCGTTTGGTGTCAGAAAAGCAACCCAGTTGTAGAACCACTCTGACTTCTGTCAACCACTGTTATCATGCTATATCTTTTTGCTCTTTTAATTGGACCGAATATCTCCTTCTAGAAATACCACTTCCTTTGAATTAGTGGGCGTTAATTTTGGGGTTTTCTTTTCAACGTTATACTGATATCGACTCCGCTCCACATGTATAGTAAGAAACATCCGCCTATCTACCAAAAATAAATCCATAAATTTGTCGACATTTTCCTGCCAGGTATAATCCGGGCATTATTTCAGGATTATGAGCTGGAAATCCTCTATTATTCAATGAATTACGTTTATCTGTGAATACGTTTAAGTCGAGATTACCGCGGACTGTATTTAATGAAAAATAATGCCGTTATTGTCTTGTTGGTGTGTCTCGAAAAAGCTGGACTAAATCTGGAGTTCTTTGTAACACTACTTTAATTTTAGCCTTGCTTTAATTTATTTTGTAAATAATCAATTATGCAGTTTGTTAGGATTGAAGTATGAATCGTACGGAGTCAAGAGAGAATGAAAAAAAGAAAGGTATATTGTTTTTGAAGATCAGTACAGCGTTCGTGTCACACCACACGTTCATGACGCGGCATTCACCCGTTCAACCGCGCTTGCATACAGTACCATTAACAACCAATATCTACAGAATTCTAACATCTAATAACCGGATCTTCAAGACGTATAAAGGAATCGAGGATTGAGATAAATATTTTGTTTCCTATCAATAGTATTACTGCAACACTTAAGTCTAAATGTCAAATATTTCCAAAGGTACACCTTCCTCTTTACCTTCTTTTGTAAGCCACAATGGGTTACTTTCAAAAAAAAGGACGAAAACACCAAGCAAAGCGAGAAAGACTTTATATTGGCCTGATAACGCAAAATCAGATCATCTTAACATGATTTAGACTGATGAGGTTTTCAGGTCMTTGACCAATATTTGTGTACACTGTACACATATTTGCTTGCAAAATCTCCATACTGACTTTCAATTCATATAATAACCATTCAATTCAGTTATTGCTAAAGTGTTCTCTTCAAATCACAAAACGAATGAGGAAAATATATTTTATTACAGTCGTTAATTTTGTCCAGAAGCATATGACCGCTATAAACGTCATGGTGGCTTAATTTTATCTTTTTATTTTGGACTTTTTGGTGCCGATTGAAATGACCCGACGCTGTCACCATTTACTTAATTTCGATATGAAAAATCGTGCCTTTCAAGATTCTATTTTTTAAAGTGAGATTGTTATTGCTATTTAGAGCTTCACTTGCGCTCACTCATACAAAGTTCCAAGCATTTGAACCAGTATCGCTAATTCATGCATACAGATTGATTCGATAATCCAATATTGTTGAACAAAACAAGGGATTATCCTTAATTTACAAGAAAACCCTATTTTCTTAATTACTTTGACTTTGAAAGTCTTAGTAGGGAGCTGAATGGCCATGTGATTGCAAACTGTCATAAATTCGTTTATAGTTAGGTTATGAGGTGAACATCAATGAAAGCCGCTCCTAAAGTACTCAACGACAGGAGCATATAGGAAGGAACGATGGTGGGAGACTCTTATGAAGGAACGATGGCTTTTGCTTTTTACTGACTTGATTTGTTTTAAGTGTTAATGAGATCCTACGATCCTACGATCCTACGATCCTCCTTATCTCATATGGTTTTTGATTTACTGTCAACAAAACTTTCCCTTATTATATCACTCTAGCTACCTCTATGATTCATGAATATACCTTTTATAAGAATGGCGTTTTTTATTTAAGAAAATGGTAAGTAGATTATGACGTTCAGTAAAATAAATGACAAGAAAATAGCGAGTGTATACCACTGGTAGAAATGTTTTCCCCTCTCTAAATATTTGATGACATTTGTTTTCAGTAGGTTTTGGATGTTACGATATAAAGTAGACAAAATAAAAAACAATAGAATAAACTAAACTTTGAAATTGAAAACCCTTATAACAATCGAAACAAAATCATAAATTGTAGTGTTCTATAAATTTTAAGTTAAAAAAATCCAGTCCCATCGTCGATTAACAAGAAATCACATAAGAAAATGTTTTTTTCCATCTGTAAGGGATTACTTTCCTCCGTCATGTACAAGGCATTTTAGTTTTTCAGTGATGTACTTACTTTCTTTTTTGTATGTCTTTTGAGTTGGTATATAAGTCCGAGGATGATCTGTGTATTTTCCCCTCTGCGAAATGCAATGAATTTACCTTCTAAGAAAACACATATATATAACACACTCCAATTATGTCATGGACATGATTAAGTACTACCTTATTACGAAAGACAACATATTTGGCAACATACGTGCGGACATCAAGAACTTAAACATCAAGGAAACCGCTATATTAGACCGGGTTACGAGTCGGTAGCTTTTCAGCAAAAAAACAATTATATACATTTTAAAGTGTCTTTCACCGATTTTTAATGCAAACAGGCGGAATTCCGGTCGTTCTCATAGGCCCCCTTTGTTTTTACGAGTTACCCAGTTGATAAAAGATATAAAACTATGTTATCTTAAAAAAKAAAATTAAAAAAAAAAAAAAGCAAAGAAATTGTTTATTGGGAGCCTACAGGGTTTCTCTGGCAAAGGAACTATACGTTTAATATATATTGTTAGAAACATCTTAATTTTAGTTACGATTTGCTGCCCTCTTAAATTAAAAGTGGAACTAATTTAGGCTCCATTTTGTCGAAAAGGCAGAAAATTTAGGCTTTCAAGGACAACGCATTAAGTAAAARAACAAGATCATAGACTATGCGACTACAGAAGGTATTCCATTTGATGAACATATCGAAGTAGTTTACTGCATCTAATTTTTCTTTTGTATGTACAATCACGAACATAACTTAAACAGTCAATAAGACCAGTTTTGAGTTCCAAATTACCGCTGTGTTCCTTGATTAAAGACTCATTTGCACAGGGTTAGCCTCGTATCTGTGTTAAATATTCACAGATACCAACGGTAAAGTCAAGAATGCACAACTGCAACAATACAAMMACTATGGAACTCGACAGGTCGTGACTGGAACACATGAATATTCTGCACAAAATCGAGGCTAGCCCTGTGTAAATGCCTTAGTCTGTAATCAAGAAACAATTTGGTAATTTGGTAACTCGAAAATGGATATGCAGTAAATAAAACGCACGGTTTCTTTTTTTGAAATGGAATTTTAAAAACTATTGATTTTGAACTTTTGGAGCCAAACTAAGATACTGTTTTCCAGGGCACACTTAATTTGGAGCCTCACTCTGTTGTGTGACCCTCACCATAGCTTTCTTGTTTTTGTTAAATTTTTYCCCCTTTAGTATCTTTTTAATTATATTTTTTTATTTTATTCTTATGTTGTATAAGTTTGTATTAGTTTGTATCATAATATATCAGTGTTTGTATCATAATATATCAGTGTTTGTATCWTAACATATCAATCTTTGTATCATAACATATCAGTGTTTGTATCATAACATGTCAGTGTTTGTATCATCTCAAGGGTCACGGGGAAATACGTAAGTGGTATTACACTTCAGAACTATTTTCCATTAAACCGCGTTTTAAGCGTTATTCAGTAAACAAAGGAATGATACTAAAGGGCATGGCTGCTAGGAATCTTACTTTAAATTGTATATCTARTAAGGATAACGAGTGGAAAAAAAATATTGGTGGATAAAATTAAAAGGGATGGTCTTAGTATAGGAAAACATTACACTCATAATAAATGACTTGCTTAGTGCAAATCAACTCGTATTATAATTAAGTGGCCAGCTATTTCGCTGCATATATAATGGTCAGGCATTCACGAGGTTGAGGAAAAAACCCGGTTCGATTTGGAAATCCAGTGCAATGTGGGATTGTTCTAGGGGACGAAATAGACGCCATCTTGGAGATATGCCCCTAAAACAGCCTCACAATGCACTGCATGCAAATGACTCATATTTTTTTTCCTTTTCCGGAGCGTAAGCTTGACTCAGTTTTTTCCGCAATATCGGAATGGCTAATAAATAAATTATGCCAATTACGTTTGCTTTCTGCCCCCACATGCTATAGTCAAAAACTAACCAAA